GCCATGAGTGCAGCTGCTAGACAGTCCCCTAAGGGTGGGGCATGTCCTGCTTCTACTAGTGTCCTCACTGCTCACGCACAGGGCCTCCCAGAGAGCAGAGCTCAGCCCATGTCTGGGAATCAAGGAGCCAATGAGCAGGGCTCCCTCTGTGCTGAGATGTCATTTCTCCTCCTTTCTTGAAGAACTAAGTGAATGAAGGCACAGGCATCTATGTTACTTTTGCAGAATGACAGACGAGAAGGAGTAAGAGGCAAAAATGAATAATCTTTTATTTCCCTATTTCCTGACCCCATCACTTGACTGCTCCATTCTTCCACCTTTCCAACAAATTCCTATGCCAATGCCCCGTGATTTCATTCCAGAACCCAAACAAGGAGGGAAGATCTCCCACCTTATTTCCAGAACATGACAAAACTCTTAAAACTCTTGAACTGGGTAAGTACAAATGCTGTGGGGTGGATGTCATGCACATATTTACCTGCCGAAGCTGGTTAAAACTTCTACTCCAAGGAACAACATTTGAGAGCTTCCTCAAGAAAACCAAGCTCTGGATGTCAGAGTCATCGCAGAGAACAGGCCCCCAGAGAGGCTGGCTCTTCATCCTGCTTTCTTCCCCCAACCCTCCCTGGCCCTGCCCTACTTAGAACTCCCGGGGCTCTCTCTTCACACACACACAGGGAAGAACCAAAATGTGGCCTCATTTCATGCCCAGCACCCCGCAGGAGAAGCTGCCAACCCTACCAAAGCCTGGAAAGGGCCTGGCCGCCACTGGGACTCAGGCCTCCTCTCCCTCATCTCTCACAGCTCCTTCAGACAGGGCCAGGGAGGAAGCCAGCTGCCCGTGATTGACCCAGAGCAAATACTCCAGCACTTGAAACTTACTGGTTCAGCGTGGGCCCTGGGACCCCACGGGAACTCGTAGCGGGCAGGGTCGCTGCTGGGCACCTGCCGGTACTCCAGGTACCCTTCCTGCACCCAGACTTTGGTGAGGAGCTCCCTGGGCTCTCCATAGATGACGTGCTCCTGGCCGGCATACACCCCCATGACCCCCAGCGTTTCCCACACCTCCTCCTCGGGGGCACGGTTGCCATGCAGGAGGATCACCCCCAGGACCAAAACCAGGAGGCCGGTCTTGGGCATGCCATGCTCACCGCTCAGCATCCCATCACAGGTGAGACCCAGGACGTTGACCAGGACGTAGGAGTGGTCGCTGGGGTCCACTTCCTTCACGTCCACGCCAAAGACCAGCCGCATGCACTCGGAGGCTTGGCCCAAGATCACTGGGAAGTCGTCCTGGTAATCTTTACTGACGATCTCCAGCATCTCTGCGTGGCGGGTCGGCTGCTTGTTGCGGTATTTGAGGAGCAGGAACCCCACCAGGGCAGCCACTTTCACGTGGAGTTTGTCCTGGAGAGAGGGTTGCATGACTTCCGGCTCCTCCCAGGTGCTCGACCCCTCCTCATCTAAGCTGCTGGGACCTCCTCCTCCCCAGCCCCCGACAGCTGTGCCTCCACCAGGCCCTAGGCCAGGCCTGGGTCTTCCTCCATTAGCTCCTGACCCCCCGTTTTTTAAACCAGGCCCCAGGCTCTGTCAGAACTGGATGCGGACGTCCTGACACACTGCCTGTGGACTTGGCACAAAGAGGCCTCCCAGGGCTGACAGCAGGGGCAGGCTTCAGTGCGTTGTCCCTGTTCTGGAGTCCAGGTCCCTCCCTGAGTCCTCACTCAGGGATCTCAACATGAGCTGCAGCACATCTGGGGATCCTCTCTCTGCTGTCTCCAGGCCTGTTCCCTCAGACCGAAGCCCTCACTGCCCTGAGAGCCACGGGAAAAGTCTGTGGACGTCACATCAGGCTACAAAGTCCAGGGATTCCCTGAGACCGGTCCTTCGGGTCCCTTAGCCCTATCCTCTGTTCCCCATCTGGACTCCCTGGATGGCCCGTGCCCTCATCCCTGCTCCTGAGGGCCACTCCTCACAACAAGCACTCAGTGTCTCTGGGACCCAGAGCAGAAGTCAGGACACGCCTCATGTCATCGTTGTCTCACCCAGGGGCCTCCCAGGACTGATTCCCTACTGGGTCCAGGGTCCCTTTTCCTCCCTCTGGTTCTCACCTTGACTCCTGACAGAACCTGGGCCCTCCTGCCCCCGTCCCCATGGGTGTGTGCGTGTGCTTGCCTTTGGCATTTGCACAATGATGGTCGGGAAGGCATCAGAAGCAAGAACCAACAAACTTCTATCTCTCCAGCTTCTGACCCCCGTCCCTTGCTTCTTCCGTTCTTATGCCTTTCCAACCCATCCCTAGGCCAATGCCCTGTGATTTCAGTCCAGAGCCCGAACAAGTAGGCAAGTTGTCCAGGGCATGAAAAAAAACTTTTTCTTAAAGGTATTTATTTATTTATTTGAGAAAGAGAAAGCACACACAGAGGGAGAGAGAGAAGCAGAGTCTCCACTGAGCGGGGAGCCCAACGTGGGGTTCGATCCCAGGATCCTGAGATCATGACCTGAGCCGATGGCAAACGCTTAACCAACAGAGGACCCAGGTGCCCCGAGAACATGACAAAACTCTTAACTCTTGAACTGGGTAAGAACAAATGCTGCGGAGTGGATGGTACTCACACAATCAGCCCCTGCAGCGGCTGAAACCTTCTATGGCAAGGAACCCCACAGGAGAGCTTCCTCAAGGACACCAAGCTCTGGATGTGGAAGTCATCCCAGGAAACAACCCCCCCACCCCCAGGAGGCTCCTTGCCCTGCTTTCTTCTCCCAACCCTCCCTGGCCCTGCACTCCTTAAAACACCCAGGGCTCTGTCTTCACGTACACACACCCACACACGGAAGAACCAGCAAGCGGCTTCACTTCATGCCCAGCACCCCGCAGGAGAAGCTGCCAAACCCAGCAAAGCCTGGAAAGGGCCTGGCGGACTCCGGGGCTCAGACCCCCTCTTCCTCATCTCTCATAGCCCCTTCAGACAGGGCCAGGGAGGAATCCGGCTGCCCGCGATTGACCCGGAGCAAATACTCCAGCATTTGCAACTTGCTGGTTTCGGCGTGGGCCCTGGGACCCCACGGGAACTCGTAGCGGGCAGGGTCGCTGCTAGGCACCTGCTGGTACTCCAGGTACCCTTCCTGCACCCAGACATTGGTGAGGAGCTCCCTGGTCTCCCCATAGATGATGTGCTCCTGGCCGGCATACACCCCCATGACCCCCAGCGTTTCCCACACCTCCTCCTCGGGGGCACGGTCGCCATGCAGGAGGATCACCCCCAGGAGCACCACCAGGAGGCCGGTCTTGGGCACTCCCTCCTCACCGCTCAGCATCCCGTCACAGGTGAGGCCCAGGACGGACACCAGGATGTAGGAGTGGTCGCTGGGGTCCACTTCCTTCACATCCATACCAAAGAGCAGCCGCATGCACTCGGAGGCTTGGCCCAAGATCACAGGGAAGGCATCCTGGGCGTCCTTGCCAACGACCTCCAGCATCTCTGCCTGGCTGGTCGGCTCCTTGGTGTGATACTTGAGGAGCAAGAACTCCAGCAGGTCGGCCAGCTTCCCCTGGACTATGTTTTGGAGCCCCGGCTGGGCTTCTTCGGGCTCCTCGCAGGGGCTCGACCCCTCCTCATCGGAGTTGCTGGAGCCCTGGTCAGACTAGTTCCAGGCAGGGGCTGCCGGGGCAGTGGGGGAGGGGCAGGCACTCAGAGAGCTCTGGGGAGGACTCTGGAACCCAGCAGCAGACCCCTCCTCCGAGGGGACCAAAAACAGGGCAGAGCAGGAGCCAGATGGGGCGGCGGACTGGGAGGAGGCCCAGGCGGAGAAGGAGGCGGGGGCGCGGGGGACCTCCTCCTCCCCAGCCCCCGACAGCTGTGCCTCCACCAGGCCCTGCGCCGGGCCTGGGTCTCCCTCCAGCTTCCACAGCTCACTCCTCTGACCCAGGGGCATGGCGTTTGTGTCGGGCTAAACCTGAAGAAAGAGGTGGGACGGCTCCTCAGGGTGCAGCCCAGGCAGCAGAGGCCTGAAGTCCCGGAGCTGACAGTGCGCTGCGTCGGACTTGGGTGCTGAGGGGTCCCCTCTGGGGTGGGACGGGCGAGCCCCTGGCTCCATGCTCAGAGCAAGTACCTCACCTTGACCCCTGGCACTCACCTGCACCTCCCCTGCTCTGGGACCTTAGAGGCTCCTGCCTCAGACCTAGGCCTCCACTCTGAGTTCTGGAAGCCCCTGGAGGAGAAAAGGAGGAGTCACTTCGGGGTGCAGACACAGAGCACGGCACACGGGCCCCAGTGGGGCAGGAGGGCTGGGGCGGACTCTGGGAGGTCCCCTTCAGTCAGGGCTGGGCGGTCCCCTCCTTGGCCCCTCAGGGGACTGCTGTTTCCCCTGGAGGGCCTGGGCCCCACCCCTGCAGCCTGAGGCCACAGGGTCACAGCAAGACCGCGCAGCCCTGAGACTCCACAGAAGGTAAGCGAGGGGGCCCACATCTGCCCACGCCTGCCAAAGGTCTAAGGGCTCGTCACGGAATCCCAGGGATGGCCAAGCTCGGGTGCCATCTGTGCTGGGATGGGCGCACCTCTCCGTCTATACCTTGACCCCATGGAAGGCCTGGGAAAACTCCCTGTGTTGACCTGAGGCCACCCTCCTGGTGCTGAGGCCTCATCTCTGGGAGACGCCAGAAGGAAAAGTCAGGAGAAATAACTTGGCCCACCAATCGCCCGTCTCCCCATGGCTGGCAGAAGCGGCAGGTAGGCCTGTGCCCTAAGGATCCTGCTGTGGGAGGCATCCCCTCATTTCTCATCTCCCCCCACCATCAGGGCCAGACCCAGAGCCAGGGCACCTGCCTCGTCTGCTACCTGAGTGCAGACCCTCAGGCCCGGGCCCTCCCTTCCCTGAGAGGAAGGATCTGGAGAGGAGGAGGGACTCAGCCTGACAGGCCCCACCCAGGGTTCCCAGGGCCGCCAGGTAGGGGCTGCACAGATTTCTGGGCCATCCCTTCCTGGTCCCGAGGGGTCAGTGGGGAGTCACTCACTCCTCCCTCAGGTGTCCCCACACTGACTCTTGGCAGGAGCAGGGACTCCTGTGTGTCTCCCAGGTGGGCTTCCCCAGATGACCTGACCCTGACCTCTCCCAGCATGGTCCTCACCTCCCTAAGAGCTCCGAGAGGAGGGTGAGGAGCCAGCACGTCCTCGTCCACGGCCATGTCTCCATCCCCCACCCTCAGCCCCCGGCAAGATCCCAAAGGGCTGGTAGTAGGGACCGGCCCCTCTGTCCTGGGGTGGGGATGCCCTCAGGCCCCCAGGACGCTAATCCTCTTTCTTCCTGCCAGGGCCTGCCCTTCTTCAAGGTCCCCAACGTGAGACAGAAGCCATGTGCCCTTCAGACCAAGACCTCAGCTCCCCGAGGACTCCCGCCTTCCGGCCCATGAGACAAGTGAGCATGCGTGCCACGTTGGGCCCCCACTGACCAATCCTCCCTGGATCGGGCCCGGCCAGACTCCGGTGCACTGGCTTCTTTGCTGAGATGGGGTGGAGGGGGTATGGCCAGTCCTCCCCCAGGGTCCTCACCCTGACTCCCAACCGGACCTGTGCCCCGCTCCCCCCGACCCCGCCCTCCACCCTCACACACACACAGGCCCGCCCCACCGCAGGCCCTCTCCTTCTCACCACAGGCCCTCAGGCTCTAACAGCCAGATGTGGACCCCCGGACAGGAGGCATGGGCTCCTCCTCCCTGGCCTGACCATACTGCGGCCCAGTCTGTCCTCCCTCTGGTCCTCCCCTTCCATCCTGGCAGGACCGGGCTCAGCCTGGGCAGCCCTGAAGCCTGCTCCTTCCACCCAGACCCCAGGCTCTAGGAGACGTGGCTGGGAAGTCAGGGCATGCCCTAGGTGACCATCTGGCCCCGGGTCCTCCCGGGACCAAATCTGTTCGCTGTCCCCAATCCCGCAGTCCTCCTTCTGGTCCTCGCATTTCCACCCAGCAACACGTGGGCCACCGCCCCCCCACCCACATACTTGAGGCAGTGCTCCGGCCTCACCATGCCACCCCCCCACCACTGGGTGACCAGGCCCTCCCCTCTGCCCACCTGAGCATCTGCTCCTTTCATCAGGCCCTCACCTCAGTCTCCCTGAGACCCAGACTCAGAAGTCCAGACTCACCACGTGTTCCAATCAGCCCCCCCTCCCCCCAACGGACCTTCCCTGACTGATGCTGTGCTGGGGTCCAGGGTCCCTCAATCCTCCCTCTGCATCCTCACCGTAAAACCCAGCAGGACCTGAGGCCTCCCCTCTGCCCAACGAGGGAGGCCCTTCTCCTTCTGCCAAGGCATCCA